GTAGCAAACCTTGCTCTTTGATTAAATTGAGTTTCATACTCATTCACAGTCATTCCTCCTTATTTAAGCTCGAGGAATTCCTTCTCCAATCGTCTCCTCATATCTAGAGGACAATACTTCTCTAACACACGAGTCTTTAACAACTCCCAAGACAAGTTCTCTTGGTCACATCCATCCAGAGCTTCATATGTTGCTTCCCACCAGACTAAAGCTTCTCCAATAAGCATTGCAGAAGCATAAATAGCCTTGTCTTCATCATCCACATGAGAAACACGAAATACTTTCTCGGTGTTCTGAATCCAAGTTAGAATGATTATAGGATTAAGGACACCAGAAAACTCCGTAGCACCACTACTCTTGAAATCTTTGAACGAGGGACGCTTCACCTTCCCGCTTGAATATTCTCCAGTGACTTTCTCTTTTCCTTTATCATCATTCTTTTTGTGTTCTTCGAGAGTTTGTCGAATAACACCGGTAAGTTTACCTAAAAGTCGCTCCTCACGAGGAGATACTGGAGTATTCACTTCCTCGGGTTGAGGATCTCCACAAACATCAGGGGTATGGCTACTTACTTGTTCAACCATTGATCTGAAATACGGAGTAAGATAGTATTTTAGAATATTAGGGTTTACTATTACCTAATACTTTTACTTATATATTTCCTATGGTTTGTATCCCTATACTTACAATGATTAAGTTCATATATTGAACTTCCTATAGTTTAAGTCTAAATACCAATCCGTGGAATTTAGTTCGCTTAAACTACTGCTCTGATACCATGGTTGAAAGACTCCAACTTTCGTATTTTTGAAAGACCCAAACTTTCATTTTCACATTATCATTACTCCAAAACATGCTATTTGCATATTCATAAAAGCAATATTTTACATTGATATAAAGGATTTACAAACTATTGGATACAAACCTTCTATTACAAAGTTTATATATATTACATAACTACCCAGGATATTGTAATTTATACAAACATAAAGTAGTACAAAAGTACTATTACAAACTATTCTACATCTTTCAATAGTATGTAAACATACTAGTTATTTATCACCTGCAATTGTTAAACATTGATAGGGTAAGCGGTGACGCTTAGTGAGTTCAAAATAGATACAATATAATGTTATGCCATATATATATATACTTCAATGTGGCAAAAAAAAGAGGAACAACAAGATGTATGTGAGATCATGTGACAAGCGTTCATATCAATCAAAGACATTATTCAAAGATATTTTTTCAATTCTTGATATACATCAATAAAGCTTTGGCCCAAATGGCATAGAAGACATGCAATTTCTGATTAACATCTTGTTAGATTTCAGGCTTATAGTCCTGTCTAACCATTTGCCAATGCCATAGAATAGAAGTCATTCTCTTACGGAGACATGCTCTACATGGCCAGAGGCTACGTACCAGTACCAATGTGAATCTAAGTCCTTTCACTGATCACATGGTCAAAGGTATTACAATTGCTATAAACATAGCGAATAACACAGAAAATAACTCAGAATGATAATACTGAAAAGCACATAGCACATATAACACATAACATACAATTGTTCCTATATATTGAACTCACCTTAAGTTAATTGAAGGTTAAAATAGTAATTTGGACAACACTTCGGCTTTAAATATGCCTTTCTATGTTGAAAACCGGGAGTTTGTTTGAAAACCGGGCTCTGCGAAGGTAGGGCTTCAAAACCGAAAAGATAAAATTTTCGGGCTTCTCGGGGGTCTCGGGACGTGTTTCGGGTGCTAAAATTGATTTCGGGGCTTCGGGGAAAGTTAATATGAAGAAAATATGGAAAGAGGGGCTAAAAGTGTCAAATTTTCAAAGTTAGTCGGCAAGGTTCGCAGCTTCCTTTATATAGGGCCGAGGTTCGGAAGTCGGCTAAGAAGCGAAGCAAGCAGCGAAGGGAAGGTGGCGAGAAGAGGAGGCTCGGATGCGAGGTTCGGTGGCCAGGTGTCATACTCGCGAGGAGGCTAGGTGTGAGGTTCGGAGGCGTGAAGCATCAGCAGTCTGTAGGCGAGATGTGGCTCACCTCGTGCACGCCACATACGCGACACTCAGAAGGCTCCGGTTGGACCTCCCTTCGGTCCTATCACAGTACGGCACGCGTTGCTTCTCTGATTGGTCCACGACCTCGGTGACGCAGCACTTCGTGCGAAACGACGTGGCAGCGACGAGGACTCCGGTAGCTGGTACTGTTCATGCGAAAATCTCGGAAATTGATCCCCGAACTTCTAAAAGCCATAACTTTCGCATACGAGCTCCGTTTTTGACGTTCTTTATATGCACGCGTAGCTAAAATTACGCTATACAACTTTCGTTTAGACTTCGTCGGCTAATTTTGACTTTAATTTTAATATTATTATTTTAATAGACCGGGACAAGAAAATCCGTTAAAAATTCATAACTTCTTCATCCGACATCCGTTTTCATCAGACTTTTTACCGTTGTATTACATATGATGAGACATTCGATTCTAATTTAGGATGTATCGGTAAAATATCGCTCGATCTAAAATTCGAGTTTTTAGCTGTCTACTTCTAAGTTGAAACTTCGAAAAATCATAACTTCCTCACACGAAGTCAGATTTTGGCGTTCTTTTTATCAAATTTCTTGGTTTAACGAATACTACGACTTTCATTTATATTACTAAGGCTAAAAAGTAGTTTATCAGAAACTCACTTTTTACGTCATTCGGAGCCGTGCCGTTTTTGTCGCGGATCTTCGGTTGGTCATAACTTCTTCGTTATAACTCGGATTTTGACGAGGTTTTCGCCTACAAATTTCTAACGAGATTCTCTACAACATTAAATAATAAAATTTTACTTATTTAAAATTTCATATTTTTGCTAAATTTCACTAGTTGGCTTTTAGTTGGAATCTCATAAGACTTCCAATATTTTCTGAGTGATTTTAAACATAATTTTACTTCATTTCTAGTAAAAACCATCTGTTAGAACTCAACACTCAATTTTACATAATATTTCACAATTTTATTCATTACAAAACACGATTTTAAAAACGTATATGTTACAATGAATTTAGTGAAAATCTTGTTATGATTATAGATTATAACTCAATATAAAAAAATGCACATAACAGATGTCACCTGAGTGTTTTTTCCAAGACATCCTAAAATTAACGTAAGTTTCATGAGGTATTGTTTATGTAGCAGTCAGTACCCGATTATAGGAAATGATTACTCAAGCTCGCCTCATGTTAGATACAAGGTTTTTTAAGAGCATTGGCTAAAAGCAACTTTAATTCAGTGTGAAAATATGTATTTTTGTTTAGTATAAAAAGTCTCAAAAGAATCAAACCCAAGATTAGTACTTGTAAGGAGATTGTGTGAGGCCCCACTGTTCTAAGAAAAAATTGAAATTATAGGACAATGATTAAAAATAAGACTACATAAGCAACAAGAGTGTATCAAACTATAAATACCCAACACTTGCATACTAAGGCCCAATCTGAAAGAAATCTCTCTTGAATGCATGTTGATCTTTCATTCTTCACACTACGCACAACGTGTTGATAGGCATCCCCAGAAATTTGTTGATTATCCAAAAGCACATCAGACCTTCAAAGTTTTTATTTCATTAGGATATCAAAAGGGAAAACCTGATTTATAATCATAAAAGCGATTTCCTGGAATTTGATAGGAAGCAAAAACCTATCTTTTTGGAAATCGGAACTTTCTCAAAGAAGATTTAAGTGAAGATGCAAAGAAGTAAGGTTGTACACATGCCAAAAACATGTTATTTATTTAATACAAATCTCCTCTTATATGAAGAACTAAAATAACGAATCTAGTCAATTTGCAGAAGCGTATATGAAGCAAATAATCAACATGCCAATCAGAAACGCTCCCTAAAATCTTGAATAAAACAAATAACTTAAAAATTAAAAATACAAACACAAATAACCACTTCAAAAAATTAGAAAACTCTAAATTATTGAAAAAATAAGATGAACCAATCTTATCTTCAATATCAAAAAATGATAACAACAAAAAATTAAGAAATCAACTATTAGGGTTTTGAGAGTGAGACAACAAACCAACCACAACCTGAAGAAAAAATAAATTACTCTGAATAAAACATACACAAAAATAAAAATCTTGAGGAACCCCAAAACAAAAAACTTAGTTAATTTTGCTACCGTTTAAGAAGCTCTAGATTAATCAATCCCCTTGCTCCAGTTTTGTTTGATTTAATAATTGATCAGATGTACTTTTATGAAGGTATAAAACATCAAACATCCAAACATCATTTCTAATTTCCTCCAGAATCCATATAAAAATTAAATCAATTAAATTAAAACCAAAACTACTAACCTTAATTTATGTAACCCACATTCTTCATCGTGAAAAGGAATAAGATTAGAGGATAAAGAACCCATTTTATCAAATCCAAATTGTGAAATATATTAAAAAAAGTTGAATCTAACCTGTGTTAATGTGATAAGTGATGGCCTGTGTTAGGGTTTCGGGAGTAGGAGGGGGAAGGGATTAGAAAGAAACTATACATGAAGGAGAGTAACAACCAATCAAATCTCTTGTCGAAACGGAAAATTGAACACCAAAGAATGAGAGAAGAGAAGCGGTTGTGTATTGGGTAACATAAACAAAATCGCAGAAAGGGATTTAAACCAATTATTAGCGTTTTGGACCTTTATTGAAGCAGAGAGTTGAATCGCTTGCGTGAAGAATTTCCAACGATTATTTAAAGGTTGTTCATCACCTTTGCGAATAACCCATAACCATTCAGCATCAGAGAAAAATGTGTCATGGTAGAATGTAAAAGAGAAGTAAGAACAATTACACAGTAACGTAAATTTGATGTTTCCCTAATAGTATGAGATAAGAAGGGGAGACGTCGTCTCGAAGGGAATCAGAGATAATTATGTGGGAAGAAAATTCATATAAGAAGAAGGACAATTTCATAATCCTTTGGGAAACATTAACAATGAAGTGGTCATGAGATACGGCACAGTGGAACATAGACATTGTGAATCGATGTTGGTGTCCATAACATCGTTTCAGAAGGCAGTTGACGTGGCGTCCAATGAAGGATGTAAATTTGATGTTGGCGGCACAAGAATAAAAAGGTTTATATATATATATATATATATATATATATATCTTAACTATCTTATTAAACATATTACACATTTCTTGAAATTTAAGAGGTACAATACCTACTCCTCGTAGTACAATCAAATAAAGCAATATTTTTTATTCCTAGGCTCACATACTCACAAAAACCCAAAATTAATCGTCTTCATCGAGAAACCCTAAGTCATGTTACGCCGTCTTCCGCGTTGGTGGCACGGCTATCCTCCTCTCAAACCGTCCCTCCGATCATCACAATTGCAAATGCAAACTCCTCCACACCGTACACACAAACATATCGAGTTCCGACCTTTTCGTACAATTGCATCTTTCAGGAAGAAGAAGAAGTCGGGATAAGAGGCGTCACCATTATCGAAGACCTTTTCAAAATTGTATCCATTGTCATCAGATCGAGCGTAACTACGCTCGATAAGAGAATCCTTCCGTTGCAGAAAACTCTAGGGCTTGATGAGACCGCCATGGAACCTTCTAGAATGTCGTTGTACAGGTTGGCAACACCTCGGTCGTTATCGACATTTACGTGGTAAGTTTTTCCAATATTTTATCTTTTTGACCTAATTCCCACATCATCTCGACCAATCTTTTCTTATTCATTTCGCATTCGTCTATTTGTTTTCTTTAAGATAATGTATTGGAACTTCTTACATCTACTTACCACAAGAATATGAAAAACGAGAATGTGGGTTCTGAAAACCTGCATTTTCTTTCGAAGATCGTCTTTTATGCGATGATCAAGAAAACGATTTGGATTTTGGATGTGGGTTTGGGATTGGGATTGGCTTATTTGAACAATAAATTCAAATCGTGAAACAAAAAGCTCATCATTTTACCCATTTTGAACATGATCTGTTGTGGGAAGAAGACGAGCTTGCTTCCCTTTTGTCTAAAGAGGAAAATATTGTTTCTTAAGAAGGGGATTTGTTCAGTGATAGGGGTTTAATAGGTTTAAGGAAAGAATATGTCGATTAGATGATTAGGGTTAGTACCCATGATGGATTTGTTGTTATGACAACCATTTTGGCTGTTAATTACTTCGATAGATTCCTGTTGAGCGACTCTTTCCAGAAAGATAAGCCGTGGATGAATCAATTAGCTGTAGTCGCTTGTATTTCTTTCACTTCTAAAGTTGAAGAAATCCATATCCCTCTTCTCTTGGACCTGTAAGTGTGTATCCATATCCTTATACATATCCATCACATCTAATATATACGAATGCACTCCAACTGTTTGTGAATATGCTAATGTCATTATTTTGTTATTAACACATCTCTTTCTTTTGTAGGTTGTTTTCGTTTAGGTTGAAGGATCAAAATATGTATTCGAATCCAAAACTATAACGAAAATGGAGGTTTTAGTTCTTTTGTCTCTTCAATGGAAGATGAATCCAGTAACCCCACTTGCAATATTCGATTACACAATAAGGAGGCTTGGTTTAATCACTCATTGGCTTCATTCGGAGTTCTTGAACAGATGCGAAAGAATTGCTCTTGTTGTCGTCAATGGTAACCTTCTAAAAACCCTTCATAAACTCAATCATATTGTAATGAATCAAAGAATTGTTTTGATTTTGATTTAATTCAAATTAAGTATGTGATATAAACACGAAATGCAGATTCAAGGTCTCTGGTTTATCTTCCATCTGTAATGGTTGCTGCTATAATGTTTCTTATGTTTAAAGTTATTGATCCTGATAACTCACTAGATTATCAAGAACGAGTAAAAGGTTTTCTTCAAATTAAGGAGATTTGTTCTTTTCATTATTATATTCCTTTTTTTTTAAAGGAAGAGGTTAGTTTGACTAATTTTGAACAAGTTCCTTAATAACAAGTTCAATTTTATGACCAATTGTTTAGATCATTATGTATTAGCATTGCCATTTCTATTCTTCACTACAAGGGTAAGAAGGTCATTTATGTGAGTAAATTTTTTCAGGGTGAGGGAAAGCAAAAACATGTTGGAAGGATTGTGGAGTTTTTCAAAACATCTGATGATAAATTACTTTAGAGTGCAGTGGTTTTTCAGAGCCGAAGATACAGTTAGTTTCTGCAACCTTTTCTATTTGGATATTTATTAGAATTTGATATTCAACTCTTTTTTCTTTTCCTTTTTCCTTCCAACTTATTATCACTCAGGTTATGAAAAAATCTACTGATATTCTAGATAATAAGCGTTTATTCGCCTCCACTTTAATGAATGACAACTTATTAGACTGTATACTTTCTAAAGTCAAAATTATAGAAAAAGCTCTTGGGGTATGTTCTTTTTTTACCTTTATCTTTCATATATAATGCTACCATCGTTTTCATCTCTTATATTGTTGGTGTCACTGGTCTTCCTTCCATATTTGTATATGCAACCTCTAAAGGTATTTTATCAAACTATAAATAGGTTTTCAAAATAAAATCAGATCTAAATATCATTCCCTTTATGACATGATTCATGCAGGTGCTCTTATGTCTTAATCAATTAACCACGAACTTGGTATGTGAGTCTTCATCTTTTGTTCACTAATTATTGCAGTTATATAATTGGTTGCAATTTGATATGGTTTAGTCCTTTTTTATTGAAGAACCATAGAGGATGGATGTGCTGCTACAAAAGTGAGCATAAAGGTCAAAGTGGTCTTTTTATGGGATATGTCGAACTATCAGGTTTGTGCACATTAGCAACAAGAACTGTGAGTATGGTTGGTACAACAACAAAAAAAAAGGAATGGTTTATTATTTGTAAGGAATAGTGCAAGAAAATTATAATAGGTTATTTTGATAATATTTTTTTGATATTGATGACATTTACGAAAATAAGATAAAAGGGCAATATGGTCTTTCTCTCATCATTATCAATTGTCAAATGCAATTGGGTTATTAAAGTTTGTATGGATTTTTATGATTTAAGAATGCATCGTGGAGAAGAAAACAATATGATAATTTAAAGTATTGGGGAAAAATTAAAAATAAAGGGCATTGTGGTCTTTTTCTGGTTAATGTCAAATGTGGTAGTTTTTAGTAGGTCTGTATAAATTGTCAATTGTCATCACTGGTAGGCTAGGGATAGTTTGTGTGGTGCTTTGAATGTATGGTGGGAAATTAAGAACAAATGGCATTATTGTCTTTTTTTGGCTATTATCCCTCTTGGAGAAAACGCTTGTTGAACAGCTTACTCGCTGCATGTATAATTTTGGTTAAGTATCTTATAATTTCATTCATATTTTTAACATCTTAACCGAATGGTTACAAATATTTATGTCTAACCTGTTAAATTCAGAACACTCAAATTTTTATAGTCAAATATTGTTTCTAAATTTGCTAATTTTGTTCTTTGTAAAATCTATACAAGTTTTTAAAGGGTATGTTTGTTATTTACATACTTTTATAAAACTCTAAATTAATTTCCATTGATTGATAGTTGAGTTGGTGTGTGTACAGGTGGATCAATAGGATGAGAAAATGGAGAATGCCACCTTCTTATGCCCCTATAATAAATCACATGACAAAAACAAGAAGTTGAACCGTTGGAAATGTATATATATTACCTAAAAGTATATTTACTATTTTTTAGTGTTTTACATCGACTAAATGTTTCTAGGTTAAGAAACTTTTAGGCTTTGTTGCAATTTTCTTTGTTTTTAATTAGAGAAACTTGTGGATTTGAATGACGTTGCTTTTAATATTCATGTGTTTTTTCTTACAACGAATAAGTAATGAAGATCAACTTTGTTTAGGTGTTTAATCTTTTTTTTGGTTTGCATACATTATTTCAATTATGAAGCTAATTAGAGGCTTAAAGCATGATACTAGGGTTATTGTTCCATTTTGCACTAGAGTTGAATGTAAATTGCATGGGTGACTAATGCTACAACTATGACGTGGAGGATGGAGATCAAATTCGTTTTGTCATCTTTAGCCTGTCACTTAACCAATTAATCAAGTTGTAAGTGTTGCCACACCAAATTACTATACCCTTTGATAAGTTTTATTTTTGTTAGTGTTTACTGTAATTCGAATTGTTTCAATTGTGAGACAATTATCCATTTATGCAGACTAGATAGCTATTGTCATTGTAACACGGCTGCAACTTTGAATTGTATATGGTAGAGAGTTTTTTTCATGTCAAACTCTTGGCTTTCGATATATGAAATTTATTCATTTTTATTTTGTTATTACTAATTACCGGCCGTTTCTATGTGTTACTATAGAATTTGACATTAGATTGCTATCAATTTGACAAGAAAATTCATAACAGCTTATATAAACTATGAAGCTAGAAGTTATTTTTTACCTCATAGTCAAATGGTAATGGTAAGATGATGGAATTAAATGTAGAATGCAGTTAAATATGAAGACCATAGTTGTTCGATCCCAAACCTTATAATAGTATTCTAAATACTTAAAAGCTGCCCAATCTAATGAGGAACTAGGAAATGTCGCTAATAACATATCAAATAATGTTTGTGATTGATGAAAATGATAGAATTATGGAGCTTTAATAATACCAGATTATGTAATCCTTATTCACTGACTCTTCAATAGGTAGGATTTAACGCAACGATGGAGGAAAGATTGGGGTTAAGTTGTAATCTCAAAGAAGGCTTTTTTAAATTTTGGGCCGGAAAGGAATAAAAAAAGGAAAGTATTTTTTTTTTTTAGAAGAAACATATTTATCCTCAATGTGAAAAAACATATTTATCCTTAATGTTCAAAAACATTATTGTGTTATTTTTTATATATAGTAAAATCACTATATTTTGTAAATTTTGATAAATTAATGGAAAATTTCCAATAAAATCTCAATATTTTTGGTCAGTTCATAGTTTAATACAAAATTATTATTATTATTATTATTATTATTATTATTATTATTATTATTATTATTATTATTATTAATTTTATAAAAAATGACAGATTACTGATTAAAACTTCAAAAAAACTTTTTTTTCTCCAGTTTCGTAGATTTAGTTGGCCTCTTGTCTTTTTTTTTTTTTTTTTTTTTTTTTAATTTAATCAAAATATTGGGACTTTCTAAAATGCTATTTTTAACTAACGATCAAAATATTGAGATTTTTTTTAAAATCACCCATGAACTAATGTATATTTTTTATTAACAAATCATTTATAAACATTAACAACTTTTTTTAATTTTGGAAAATAAATTTTTTTTTTATTGGAAAATACTTAGAAAATATGTCATACATATGCGTTTCCGAAATAGATTGTGTAAGGGCACCCGATTGATATGTAAAACTTTTCAGCACAATAACATTGATACTGAAATAGTTGTTGGTCAACATGATGGAAAAAAAGAATATTTTTTTTCAAGTATTCCTCATTGTTCGTCCGAAGATGACATGTTCTTATTCAAGTTGAAAAGAGAATAATTTTCAAATCGGTTATGTTTCGCGGTGACAATCAATAAACCCCATGGAAAAATAATTCCAAATATAGGTATTTATTTTTATGAATTGATTCTCACATTGTCAACTTTATGTGGCATTATCTCAGGGGAGATCATGTGTCAATACAAAAGTATTAGTGAATCCTGACGAACAATTCAAAAGAAGTGAAGTCTATACATCAAATGTGGTGTATAAAGAAATGTTTCACGATTAATAATGAATAATCAATCATATGTTCGTACACATTTTTTTAACAACCCTAACTCATATTTTTTTTTTTATTCTTTCTGATTTCGTATATGATAGCATGATTCTTATAGATAATTGTTCAGATGTAGTAAACTATTTGCACAAAAGATCTAATCGCCTCTACATACCAATTTCTGAAAAAACTATTCGCACCCGTCGCTTGGCGCGGGTAAACGGCTAGTATATATATATATATATATATATATATATATATATATATGTAATAAGTTTATTTAAAAGGAAAACAATGAAATTCTAAAAATTTGAAAAGTTTGAATTTATAAGAAAAGTAAAAAAATACTGAATTATTAAAATTAAAGTATTTTTTTTAATTTAAATAAATAAACAAATGAAACTAATGAGACTTTAATTTATTAAATTTGAAGTTAGAAGTAAAGTC